ACTAGTAGCTCCTGGCCTTACTACTAGTAACAAGAAGCTACTAGTAGAACACCCCGACATCCCGATGAGTTGGAGTTTTTTTGCGCCTCACGCCAGACGCGTCACCCGACGGAGTTAGAAGGGGGGTTGGCATCAACCACCCAACACTGAGAGTCCAGTCATCTCATTGAACTACCCCGGCCTGGTAGTAGAGTATGACTCCAAGTTGTGGTGTTGCAAAATGAATCAACAATACACTTCTGGGGGTATACCCTTTGATTACATCTAATTCACACAGCGCCAAAGCACCGGCTTGGGAGTTTTCTTGACCACTTTGCTGCCGCATGTCGCCCACGTGGACCCAAATGTGGAACCCACGCAGAACGCGACCGCAGGCAGCGTTTCTCATTTGTGGATCTTGACCTTTTAGTGCAGGAACAGTCTGAGACCTCACCCCTCTTAATATCCCAAAAGTCCTACAGCAAGAAGTCTACTTCCACTTTCTTGTTTTATCGGGTCAAGACTCTGTGTGTGTGTGTGTGTCTTGAACATGAAAGCATACCATAAAAAGTTTAGTTTTACATATAATATATATATTGTTATTATAGTTACTTTACATTTTTTTTTTACTCATTATTGCACGCCAATATGTGTGCACCCTCAATGGGAGCCATACTCCACCTGAACCCCAGCGCTGGCGCATCTCCCCAGTAGTTCACTGCAAGGGGTGGTTTCATGACCACCTCGGATGGTTTCAGAACATGCAAGAACTATCCAAAAACAAGCCTCCAAAAGTCACCACACGCCTCGGTGGGGCACCCCGAACCTCCATGGACCGCACTCCGCTTGGAACTGCTGGTCCGAACCCTTTGTGTCCGAACACACGTGTGTCCGAATTGTGTCAAGCACCGGCACCAAGTTCTTCATGTTCAGATACGGCTGACACCAGGCAAGAGAAGGAGCACCAGGTTGGCTGACACCAGGTTGGTTAGTTCCAGGTATGGTTGGTTGTATTGACCCCCCGACCCTCATGCCCGAAGCAACAAGGCAGTAGGATCTACCTATTCCAATGGACCAGTTTAGTCGTTCTTCTTTGACATCAAACAGCGAAGGAATCCCACCGTACAGAGTTTTGCTCGATGATACATACTCATGTTGTGTGTGTGTTTCGGTCCAGTCAGTGTTATGCGTCTCCTTCTTCGAGGTGGTCAAACCGGGGGCCTCCCTATTATAACATATAATTAGAATTCCATAGTGTGCATGGGTATGTGTGTATTGCCAAAAGAAGACTTCCTGAATCCATCGCGGCTTGGCATGATGTGTTTTAAGGTCATCAGGCTGGGTCTCCTCGTCACCTCCGTCTCACCCCCGGCCACCAGCTCCGTCGGGCGGGCTTCGCCCAACCCGTCGGAGGCGACGAGACCTCGCGGTCTGCGCGACGAAGCTTCGAGCTCCGAGAGAGGCCCAAAAGGAGCGAGCGGCAGAGTCCTAAGTCCTAAGTCCCGAGCAGAGTGGCAACAGCTTCTTCGGGTTTCAAGGCAGACCTATATACAAAAACAGTACCAGGACCCACAAGGGGTGGTCAATGGACACCTTAACATCTAAGGGGCTATTAATAGAAGCCCCTTAGCCTTAGGATGTCCTAGTATAGGTGAGGTCAGACCAATGGACCTGACCTTTCACGAACGACGTGACCTGCAGGGTTTGGAGTCTCCCCTTCTTCCACACGGAGCCACACGGCAACACGTTCGCTTTGCGGCAAGGCGCGGGGGTTTGCCCCACACAAGTTGCAGGCCGGTGAAACTAGATCTCCTTCAAGTTGCTATAGTTATTCATTTCTTAAGTTGCTATTGGGCTATAGACACTGGTTTCAGTTTCAGAGTTTGCCTAGATGGCAGAAACATTGCAGAAACTCCCAGACGTCTTCTAGATGGGGGTCTATACAAACCATCTATGAAACCACCAAACCTGGGTCGATCCTCGTGCCGAAGCTCTCGAGTTTCCGGGTGACCAGTGGATCGATGGGCACAGCCAGCGTCGGACTTCTCGCGTCGACGCGCTTCCGTCAGACGTCGCGAACATGTGAACGTGTGTGTGTCTGTGTATTGGTTCGGCTTCTCTACCGGTGATTCTTTGTGAATCAACACCACAAAACTCGGCCCAGTAGCTATAGAGAACTCCATGGGGCTGGAGTACGTACCACATGGACCCACCACCTACCAACCACCCCAACTGTAACTGATTTGGAGTCATATGCCAGTCCCAGAGAGGTTGTGTTTCGGTATACAATTGGAGAGTCCAACAACTTCTAGGGCCCAAACAAGCCCAGAGCCCTCAGAGCTTTAGAGTTTCTACATCCTGTGCTGTGCGTGATCACGGTCCGCATTTGTTGGCTCAAGGTCAAGTGGATAGAAGATCAGTGCATGAGATCGAATTGTCCAGTGAGACTGGTCATGGAAAAGAAAGTGAAGTTGCTGAGGCTTTCCAGCAAGGCCTTCAAATTAAAACTCAAGTCTTGTGAAACTCCTCACGGGCCCAAACTAGGATGTACTGGAAACACATGCCTGCTCCCCACGCATTCGAAAGCTGTTATTCAGAGACTTGACTGAGCAACAAATACTCCAGTGTTTGAGACACCCTACTTGGAAGATTCAACGTATGCGGCTCATTTCCGCAAGAATTTAGTTTCCATTTCACGGCGCACGCCTTCCGCGCCTTCCGCCCCACGCTTTTTCCACCGCCGCTTAGAGAGAAGCGGGTAGCAGGTGCGGTACCTGCTGGTAACGTTGGAGTGGCGGTTGGATGGCGCGTGCACGTGTTTCTGTTGATTATGAATTCGTTGGTGAGGACTAGAGTTCATCTAAACCCGGCTGATGGTTAGAACATGATCGAACCATACATGAATGCGAAAAGTCACTAGAGTCACTAGTCCAAGGGCAGGCAGAACTCCATGTTTGACATGTCCCTGTCCACACAGCGACGACTCGTGGTTAAAATGTGTCAACAAGGAAGTTCTGGGATATAGAGGAAGGCCCACATCGTTCAGCTTCCTCCGCTCATTCTTGGTGTTTTGGCTCGGCCGCCGTGTTCCTGCTGGACGTGCACTGTGGAAGAGGCTTCCGCGTTGGGTGCACATCCCAATGCTTCGCCGTGTAAGAACAGGGTTTTGGGATGCCCTTGGCCAGGGTCGCCCCGAGTCCGGTTGGGGTCTTAGGGTTTGGTAAAAACGAGTCATTTGGGCTCTCAGCGTGTACCGGTGTATGATGCTGGGCAGCATGCTTTGAGATCAGGAACCATCGCGAAGTTGACAGAGAGCAACCAATCGATGTGCTGTCTATTTTTTAGGATCTACTGTTTGTTTAAATAATACCTTCACTTCACAGTGGAGACAACTTTTCCATTGTAGCCTGACCTCCCAGTCGATTCTGTTCATTCTTGATCCCTCACCCTGCAGGTGTTCCATTTTTCATACCCCTCAGATGTTCAGGTTCCTTTGGAGTCTAGAAAAAAACGGTCTACCAGCACTCCGGTTCGGGTGCCCCGCAGACGCGGCCAGCACCCGACAGGATCTCATCTTCCAGTCAAGTGCGCGGTGCTCGGGAATGTCCATTTCCCTCCCAATCCCCTCGGGCCCCTCTACCAGGTACATCATGCTGGGCACTTCGGCACTGACAAAAAGCCATCAGCCATGAAGGACGACGAATTCGGAAGGTGAGGTGAGCCACACCGAACAGCGCAGCACCCAATCCCACCATATCCCACCCACCCAAGCACGCCCCACGCCAGATCCGCCACCATGGCCCGGAGTCCCGGGACTTCCGCAGCGGTCCATGCCACCACGGAGCGGTGGCACGAACACACCTCCCGTGGTGGCCCACCGGTGTTTTTCGGTGTCGTTTTTGGTTGGGAGGGTCACATCTGGCCGAAGTGTTCTGTTTTGGCGCTTGGTGGCTGATGACATACAGTTCGTTTGTATAGTTTGGTGATGTTTTGTGATGTGTTTTTCGTTTATGACGCTATATTGTCCATTGTAGTTCGTAAGGTTGGTGTTTGTTTGTGAATTCTTAAGCTACGACATATTGGTGTTCCAACGTTGGGGAGAACGAGAGGACCCTTCATGATCCGGCAGTTCTCACAGATTGAACTCAGATGATTTACATTCCATGTCAAAAAGAGACACATCCCCAGGTCCACCTTGATAGTGCATGGTTTTGCGTGTCGCAGTCCTACACTTTTAAGGAATAAAACTGTGGCACAGTGGACCCTACAGTTTTGATGCTTGGATCTGAAACTGGTCTTCCGGCGGTCGAGGATCAGGATCTGCTTTTCTGACATCGTTGTGTGGAGGTATAGGTTTGCCGCTGCTTGTCCTGTGGACGTGAGGACAGTTGTAAGGTTGGCTGCAAGGCCAAATGCAGAAGAGGCGTCAATGTCCTGGTGGAGTGTGGCGGCAAGTTGCGGCACGTTGCGGTACATCATGAAGGAGTGGTTTCAGAGTAGACTGCACAAACCGCAAGATGTCCTTTAAGCTGGGGTCTATGTAAACCGCCAAACTTGCGGATTGCGCCATCTACTCTCAATCCATTTTACTTGGTTTTCGATACAGGGCCTTGGTTGATCCTGCAGATCGCCTCCGGCGTGCATCAATCCATGGCAGTGTTTTCAGTGAAACTGGTTTGGATTTTGAAGGCTCCAAGAGACTCTAAGGTATACTTGAACATCGAAAAAGCGCGAGGATCCGAAAACACTGGGCTGGCTGTAGTATATTGTAGTATGGATGTTTTGCTTCTTTGACTGATTGAAAGGTGATGAATATGGCTGTGGGTCATGATGGTCATGGCACCGGGGCACCCTTTCTTTTTCTCCCAAACATGAACATAGACGACTAGAGAAGGTCAAGCAACTAGGTGAACTGGGCTGCGGGTGCCATGACCCAGGACCACATTTGATCAGGCTACCAGAGGCCACCGGCCACCCACAAAGTTCTACTTCTTGGACAACCCAAAGCACTGAAACAAGTGTTCTTTCTCAGGAGTCATCGGCTGAACACCCACTTTGCGCTTTCAGAGATCAAACCGGTCCCGTAAATAGCAACGCAAAGGAATGTGTCTTTATGGACAAAGCCTGATACCGTTTGCTGGACACTTTTGTGATTGTCTCAATTGATGGAATTTGCTTTTGTGTTAGAATAATGTTTCAGAGGTTGTGTGCTTCGCTTGCTTCGCGAAGAAAAAACATGTATAATATGAATCAACCTGTTGACAGTACACATGACCATGTCTACATCTATTTGCAAGCTATGAAGGTCGTAAATGGCATAGACAAGAAACACTGGACCGATGGGGAAATGGATGGAAATGGGAACTGATCAGTTGACATGTCCAGTGGGAACTACGGCCATTGCAGGGACTTCTGCGATTCGATGATCACGGATCAGCAGAAACACGGATCGATCTGTTGGACGTTATGCCAAGAGAGGCTCTCTAAGACTCTTTAGAAACATCGCACAGATAGGCCCATGTATGGCCATAGGGGATGGGATAGGCCATGTATGGCGATTGTTTGGGCGATTGCTTGCCTCCAAGTGAGTCTATTTTCCCGAGGGGCAATGCGCTGCTTTTGCCTCCAACCTTGTGTTTCTCTTCAAAAGGTTTCTGCACCAGCTCCAGGGTGACAAACGTAGGCATCCCTCAAGTTCTATCAGCTGTGTGTGATTATATATATATATATGTTCCTGAGCCTTTGCTTAGCCTGTACAATTGAGTATAGTAAAATATGATATGGTGTCCCCAGTGCCCACGCCGAAAACACGCGCGTTTTGGTCTCGTCACAACACCACGTGGCGTCGTTTTGGTCCTCGTCGCCCACGAGGTCTTTGAAAAGTCCTTGACGGCCATGGTCAAGGGCATCCGCGCGCATCGCGGCAACGAGTCCGCCGGGGCACCCGTGCTTTGCTCGCGTGCGCGAGAGTGAGCGCTGACTATGTTGGGTGCGGACTAGACGAATCGCGCGACATGCGAGGGCTGGATGTTTGGGGTGCTTCTGAAGGCCGATGTGGCGTTCATGGGATGCTGCATAGCGGTGGGAAGGGAATCTCGGACTGGTGAGGTCTGGAGTCTGGTCGACATCTTGAAAAGATCAAGCCAGCTCGGGGGTCGAGCGCCAGCTGTTCAGGGCCCGTGGCTTGTGCTTCCGGCACAGCCGAGCAACATCGTTCAGGCAAAGCGTTCTTCCGGGTTCCCCAAACGATCCATGGTATATGACCTATACATTCACTATCCTTCACCAACCAAAAGCACCAGCCATGTAGGCCATGCATAGACATGCGCCACCATGGATCGTTAGGGGATGAAAAAAAGTCATTTAGGATCAATGTAGACTCTTGATTATATAATGAACCACCACATTTGAGTTGACACACCTCTTCGTGTGGATGGTTTATTTATCAAGAGTCTACCCCACTGTTGGGCCAGGCGCGCATGGAGTTCGACCGCGCAGCTTTTGGGAGTTGCGCAGATGACCATAGAGGGTAGAAGTCATTGGGAGGATTTCTTGCAAAACTATCCCGGTACACATCATAGCCAAGAAAATATATATCATTGGACGAATTCAGCATGTTAAAGCTGATTGCGTTTGTTTTTTTCTTGTTGAAACCTTCTTTGACCTGATCCCACCATATCCAGCCACTTAGAACAGGAGATTTTCGATGACACCCCTGGAATCAGGATTGCTTCAGACGTTGCAGACCTCTGAGACAGGTAGATTTGCATATGGACTGCGCTCAAAAAGCCCTACTCAAAAAAAATAGATAAACGTAAACTTTTAAGGTGGTAGATGTGTTTAAGGTGGTAACACATCTGTCTCACCTTAGATAAACTTTTAAGGTTGTAGATGTGTTTAAGGTGGTAGACATTTTGGAAACCAACCATATATAGCTGCTGTCTTTGCAATTCCGAGATGAATCGCTTGCACGTGCTGCACGTGCTGCATCCCAAGGTACCCCCCGGCATGCTATGTTGCCTCAGACCGATCCTGGCCACAAAGACATGCTGTTTGGATCTTCCTGGTACATCCTCAGAAGGTACAACTGAACCCTCCAAACCTACACTTCTGACAAGGTACTTGGATCCCTTGGGAATCATGCATTGGAAGTTAAACAAAATAAACACATACAACTGTTATTAGTAGAGGAACAGGGTCATCAATCGGGCTCATGCCATCCACGGCCAGGCCCATGAAGACTCAGGGAGTGTGGGTGTTGGCCAGCTATACAGCCCCGTCGCACAGCGTTGCTGGCTGTGAGGAATATATCCAGGCCTGCATCACGGAGATTCAGAAGGAGGCGCGAGCTGAAACAAAGTCTATATAGGTAAAGAGAGCATGATAGCACCGTGTTTTTATGCATATAAATATGGACATTTGCAGCTCTATAGGAGTGCCCCTTCTGATATTTAGACAGGTTATTCCCGTATTTTTCTTGAAAGATCAAGGCCATATATAGACGAACCCGTTGGAGTGTTTAGCAAGTCCCATCCCTGTTGGATCCCCAAATCCTCCGTGCGTGTGAGGGCGCCAAAGATCTCAACAGAACGTAGACGCAATGACATGGTGCCTTGGAGCAATGACATGTGTCCAAATTCACAATGTTTTCATGAAGCCTCCGGAGCAATCCGCCACATAGTACTGGTACTCGTGAGTGTTTGAAACACCTCCGGAGCAAGCCGCCGAGAAAAGGCCGCGCGCGGGCCGCGGGACGCGCGTGCGCTGTGTGTCTTGCGAAAGACTCCGGCTCAGCGAATCCGACGCCCCCGCCCTCGTCCTCGGCACCTCCGGAGACGATCGCGTTCACGCGAACGTGGACGACGGCAGAAGTCGAGGGTGACCGGAATGGACCGGAGGGTGACCGGGAAGATGAAAGGTGTAACCTGAAAAAGCACTGATTTGTAGAGGAGAAGAGTCTTCCAATGGAGTGTTTGGGAGTAGGTGCAGTGCTGATCTTCCAGGGATTGTATTTCAAAAGGTGCATCGTATAGGTGGATTGGACAGGCTTTCCCTGAATTTTCGTTTTGACTCATGAACTACTCCACCCAGTAGTTATGACATGTCATGACAAAAAAACAAACCAAGAAAGACCTTCCCAGGTGGGTAACATGAATCATTATTTGGACGTCCAGGGTGTCCTGAATAGTTGGAGTGGTTTTCTAGGCATCGGAGACCCAGTCGCATTGAGTGTCGGATAGATCGACGGATCGACGTGTCTCCTGTTGGGATCACTTGCCCGGTGATCGGGGAATTGGGGTGTCCGACCTTATTGCTGAGCACAGATGAAAAGAAAGGACACACACAATACACAACATTTATGTTGCAAAGATTTGATTTGGTTGTCCTTCAAGATTTCCTGATCAAGTGCATGTGTGTTATTCTTTGTTGACTTGAGGATTATTTCATGACCTTTCTATTTGATCACATTCACGGCCTGTTCACCCCCGCAAATCCCTCTCCACTGCATGAGATTGGATTCCATTGGATGCCAGATGATGTCAAGATGTTTGGTGCAGAAGGACCCAGAATCCAGACTGCTCTAGACTTCAAGACATCAAATTTGGATCTGTCAACCAGTGTTGAAGTGACAAAGAGTATCGCCTCAGTTTGGTAAACAACTTGAATGTATCACATCGCAGAGCTGGCTGGCTTCCATGCTTCAACAGTGGCTCTTGTAGTACGTAGGTGCTCTTGGACAAGCTCACAAGGATGTATAACATTCACGGCCGTGATTCCTCGAGCACCCAAAGTCAGCACGTACCAGGACCACTGGTCACCAAGTCCGCCCCTGAAAGCCCTTTCACTCAGTGGGGTGCCCAAGGGAGTAACTCGTATGCAAGCAGCACCCAACCCACGATACCGGATTAAGCCACGGTAGCAGGGAAGATGGTGAATTTGCACCATTTTTCCCCAACAAAAAGAATTGCCTCTGGCGGAGCAGACACCTCAGGGAATCCCTCCCCAGTTTTCGTAGCTCGTTCGGCACCAAGATGCAGGTGGTGCATGGCTGTGAACTCAAAGCTTTGCAGGTCGCCTCAAAAAACATGAGCACCAAGTCCATGGCTGTCCTCAAGGCCTGTGACAGCGCAGTTCAACGTGCTAGGGGACACGCGTCGGTGTGACGCATGGGGAGATGCGTAGGCATGGGGAGACGAGTTCAGGGCGTTTGCAGACCGAGTACAAGTAGGTGTACTGCAGTACTAATCTTAAGTAGATAAGATGAGGGACAGTCCATGACAGTCGAGTCCAGACTGTCGACAAGTTGTTGAAAACCAGATTGTACAATTAATAAGATCTGATCCAAGATTGGGCTGTCATGAGGCAGAGAAATCAAGAGCTGCCAGAAAGGGTGCAAGATGGAGGGCAGAGCCAAGAGTCTTGAGAGTCTTGAGCTTACGGGAGGCCATCAGTCATAGTTTATCCAACAGGCAAGACGAAGAGCGCTCCAATTATGGTAGTTGCATGCCCAAACAAAGGCTGTACAGCTGGGGGTTGCTTCAGTATATATTCTCCAGTGGGACGACTTGTTTATACGTGTTTTATGATTTCAATAAAGGCCTTTATTGATCCTGGTTGATGATGTCCGTGATCAGGGGACTTTCGATATGAGTGACATCTTCTTTGCCCACTCGGCACTCCACAGCACTCGAGGTGTGTTTAATGTATTTTATTATATACAACAAATTCTGGCTACCGAGATCTACAGAACGCACGTGTTGTCCCGCACAGGAGTCTTGTCCCTCTTGTGTGTCATATATTTCTATGGTTGGTTGATGAATGGAGTCCTGGGGTGAATCTAGATCAGTGGTTTAGGATGGTTTAGGGATGTTCAGGGCTGACATTAATGTATTTTATAGGCTCATTGCCTCACTTTCTTGCGCAGGGGTTTATTTGCAGCAGATCATCTTGTACATGGAAATAGAGCAGGATAGTATTTTCCAGTCCCCTCAGATGATTGTTCACACGGCATGATACTCGAAAGCTAGCTTGGACAGTTGTCTTCAAGAATTTGGTTGTCAAGCACAGTTGTAGCATGTTGTAGCAGCATGTTTGATTTTGTTGGACTTCATCATCCAACCGGTGTGCATAGAGACAAGTCAAGAGCGGGCTAGCCGGGCTGGGAGCGCGAGTCAAGCTATCCTCACAGGTCAGTGAACGAACTCATTGTACTGGAGTTGATCATACAAATAGACTACTCAATGAGATTTTCAGTCACAAATGACCAGATTTTACAGGACCTGTAGGGTCCTGTCGGGTATCTATAGTCAGTTCGGTCAGTTCTCACAGTTTTCGACCGCCGCAGCTGGCCTATCTCACCATGCTGGGCTACGACATGGCCTGGGCCACCTTCGCAGTCGTGGAGGTGGAGCGCCGCCGTCGTTTCGGGTTCAAGATGATGCAGCCGGGTGAAGCCCGGGCGATTCCGCCGGTCGATGCTAAGAGCAAAGGGCATCGCTACTAGGAACAAGGACGCTACTAGGAGCTTTTCGGTTTCGGTTCCCTCAACATGCATCGACCGGACTCAGCGTAAGTACTCGGCGCTGGTGAGATTCAGCGAACTCCACAGGGTGGACCCGTTCCAACAAATATTTATTTCATGCATTCATGAGGGCTAGTGGGAACACGGAAGAAGTGCACTTACCACGTTAATGTAGTACAAAACAAACACGTTGACCTTAAGACCAATGGGTTCGATTTGATAGATGTTGTCCAAGAAAGCATGGTTTTCACATGTTTCCGCATCAATCCGAGAGTAGAACATGTTCCACAAGTTTGTTTGTTTGTGCTCAAGGTAGATATGTTTCAGCATCCCTTGGGGTCCTTCTACTACTTTCTGGGCTCATAAGGGAAGAACAATCCCCAATCAACTCTCATCAACGAGTATTAGGGGAAGACCAGGTTTTCACCACTGTCATGGTGGGTTTGGCATAGTTTAGACAGAATTGTTAGCGATGGAAGACTCGGAACGTTTCTACAGGCAAGCAGCATGGAAGACGTGGCAAACAGATGGAAGACGCGGACATGGTTAAGACAGCAACGGGCTATCTCTATTGTATGACTTACATGTGCGAGGATTGGGTTGGAAATTTTCTGTCTGACGTGCAGAGGGGGTAACAAGTGCGAAACAATTCCATTTGCACATAAAATAAAAGAACATACAGCCACAACCATTATACAGCCACCAACATCCACCGCAACATGACAATGCTGGAAGACAAACCAGCAACCTCTTTGTCAAACTGCCGTCACCTATCAGTGTTGATGGATGCGAAGATGGTGCGGTGGTTGCATCAATGCCTTCGGTGAACTTGGCAAATCCCATCTTTAGCTGGCACAATCACTCAGGGCAAGCCCACGACAAAGGAGGGTTGCTTAGAGATTCGCAACAAGCACCTACATGAACTGTCCAATGCAAAATTATGGGTCAAAAGATTGCCCTTCCTTTTTGGTTTGAGACGAAACGGAACAGATTTGCCACCCGAATGGATTTGTTTGTTTGGGCGTTGACAGGTCATGGGCACCAATCGCTTCGCAACCAAGCGGCCTGGGTGGGGGTGCCAAGAAGCAGGAAAGTGGAACACATTAAAACAATAATGGTGCATTTTTATAGAGGAATGATGAGGTAGGGCAGGTCGAAGCAGTGACTGCAGTGTACAACCCTGTTGAAAGGAATAATTTCCTCCATTTTGGATGGTGTCGCCGTACTTTTGGATTTGTACATACATCTGGGGATTCTGCCATCATGTCTTGTACACTACAACCGATGGAAACCATATCAGATTGGCTTTGAACATCTTCGACAAAGGGCTTGGAGGGTGGTTTGGGGCTGCTTTCACCAGCGGATTGAGCTTCGATGTTCTTTGCTCATGACCGAAGTCCCTTAAGCATCAGCTCGCCCAAGGTTCAGTCCTCATCCTTTTTTGCAACCCTCCAAGGATGGTGTTTTGCATGATTTTGCATGGGCTCCAAGCAAGAGGGTTTGGGAGGTTTTGTTCGATTCCCAGCGACCTTTTAAGAACCCAGTGGCTGAGGTCACAAACAGGCCGAAAGAAAAGGTCACTTACCAATCCTGAAGAGGTCACTGGGAAGATCCTGGTTATTTTAGTTTATTGTTTATGTGTGTTGTGTTCACCACATCCAACTCACGCAAATCAGCCGTGGACAGGCCGTGGACCGCAAATCGGCCGTGGACCGGGCGGACGATGCCGAGGTACTTGGCGTCCAGCATTTCCTTCACGGATCAGACGGACGTGGGACTGTTGACCATCAACCTCTTCAAGAAGGAGTCGGGCGAACGAGATGGCGGGATGAACCTGGAATCCGGTGTGGTCCGGTCTGGTCGTGGTTCTAAGAGTTCTTGAGACTTGACGGCCCAACTCCGGCCCAAGTCCTTCGTGTCTTTGTTTCACAACTGGTTGGCACCCTGTTTTTGAGCAACTGCCATGTGCCTTTTGGACTACTGGCAACTCAGCCTGGCAGGTGGGCTGCGGTTTACAGTCTGAGCCTGACCAACGCAGCTTTCGGCACCAGGGGAACACACAAGCAAGACAGAGGGAGGCTTCTATGATTGTTATCGACATAGGGCATAGGGCATAGAACGGGGTCCCGTTCACTGGGGACAAATGCCCCCCGCGTGAAGGTATCAGTATCAGCGTTGAGGCGTCAATCTATAAGAAACAGGACCCAAACCGATTAAATCCGATCCTACGGCTCGGGGTGTGGCCCCCGTGGGTGGCATGGTGGGTGGCGTGATCACTTCCGCCCCACTCCTGCCCCACTCCGCAATGCTGTTCTCTTAGGCTCATATAATACATCATATTGGATACCACTTCTATCTCTATGTTGCTTTGGGCGCGGTACCTAAAAGCACCAAGGTAGGCATCGAACAAGACGACACATGTCGACCGAACATGTTTTGTTCGATGCGAGGACTTTGGTTCCCAAAGCCAATACGAGAGTGGCACGGCCATCAATTGCTTGAGCAACATTTGCTCCGCTGAGGCCCCACGATCCGACACGGCACGACCGGGTGGGTCGTGGGCGGAAATTCCGGCACGAGCGGAAGAGGTTGATGATTAAGGAAACCAATCGTTTTTGGTCTATTTCCATTCTACATTTGACACACCGTGCGGACACCCGGAACACCTGACTTCGAGGAAGCTGCGACTTCGCAGCTTTGACTTCCTCTACATAGGGAGCATCGAAATTTGGGAACTCTTATATAGGATCTTCTATAGGTGTATGTTGTTGTCCAGCTTACCGGTTATCGAGCACGATAGAGCACGCAGCTTCTGGCGAAGATTGGAATCCAAAGCCCTATTGTGGTGAATTGTTCCTGTTCATTTGTTGTTTCACCATTGAGGAGGTGCGTGGTACATACAGGATAGGCTATAGGGTTGTTCAACCTCACTTAGGTCATTCTTGGTTTCATCGGCTGCAGGGACTGCCGACTCCGCCCGGGGACTGCCGACTCCGCCCAATGCGTCGATCTGCCGAATCCGGGTCACGTCGTTGGACCCGATGCCGCCAGATCTCGCGTGACATCATGACAGACCTCCTATCCCTGTCGGGTTGCGCTCAGACGGGATCGTGGGCGTGAAGATCGTGGTCAATTGGGTGAATTTCGGGAGAACAGGTGGCCTTCATGGGCGTGGCAGATCAGGTGCGGTGGTTGAAAAAGGGTTGCAATCACAATGACAAAGTTCATTATATGGGCCTACATGACCATTGGGCGCCCGAATGCTACTCAAAATCTCTTTGTGGCTCCTCCTCTTCATGATCTCATAAAGGTTTTGAACATGTGATATGTAGACCTTCGGGCCCAAAGCGACCAGTTTCTTGGAAATCACCGGAAGTCAGATCCGTCTCCTCCAACCGATTGCTGAGACCCGGTTGGATCCTGCTGGTGCTTTTTATCCATCCCAATCCCCAACAATCCATGGGACTGGAGAACCATCCTAAAGTAGAGATGGTGGTCCGAAAGGACATGTTCCAGCATGCACTTTGATAGGATAGGCACCGTGCAAGCTCTTCCAAGTCCCATGGGATACCCTGGGCATTTGCTCCACCATCCGAGTTTGAGCTCCTCGCGGGCGTACTTGAGAAAGAGCCTCGGAAGAAATGTGAGGAAGTGAGGAAGCCGGGCAAGTCCCGGTGGTTTGCAGGTTCCAAAGGAAAAGTGGACGGCAAGATATAGCTATAGAAAATCTGAATTCCAGTGCATCCCATGGAAGACTGAAACATCATGTTTGTTTTTTTTGGATCGGCTCTTGGCAGGGAGGTTTCGCTGCGGAGAGATTTGCTGTGGAACGGCTTAAGGTTATGAGGTCATTGAGCTGGCCTTTTACGCATAGTGTTTGTTTCTGTGTATTCATGAGGGGTGGAGTGGTGAATCGAAGTCTGAAACGCACGTTTTGGTGCGGGTAATTAGTGAAATGCAAGCATATACTCTCCAAGGAAAACAACTATCATGGACATGGAAGTAGAAAACCACCTGTTTGTAGAGGACACTGGTCCAGCGTAAGTTTAATAAGAGTGTAGTGCATGTATGTGTTTTTGTGGGTGGAGAATGGGAGAGGAGGCCTGCAACCTTTCCCATGTTCCAAGGTTACGAAAGCCAACCTTCGTAGAAGGCGCTAGCGGAGTTGTGTTTGGCGAACGAAGTGAGTAGTTAGGGTCTGGGGGGGTGGCCCGAGAAAGGTATACGTCAACTCAGCACATGCTGGGGGAGGAGGGTGCTCCGAGGGAAGGTTTTTTGAGGTTGTGTTGGAGGTGATTTTTGAGGGGTGGTGATGCAAGAAATGCCAAATGCATCATTTGCATCATCTGAATGGAAAGGTGTAGTTGGCACCTTGCAAGGTAGAGAGACCTAGGGTAGCTATAGTGCAGCTACCAGGTATAGTACTTCAAGTTCCCTTTCCGTCAACCGCTTGAGACCTCTACACACGCACAGCAATCCACAGCCTTGAAGTCTCATTCGTGCTTTGAACTTGTATAGGTGTGTAAGAGGTATAGCAACATACTATTTATACGGACCCAGGGTAGCTACAAGTAGCTACAGTTCTGGTATGGCGCGCATGAGGCTTCAAAGCTGTGGTTTTCAAGCTAAAGTCAAGGTGGCCTGAGACCAGGGTTTGCTGCCCTAAAACACTCTGTTCAGGCCACCTTGAAAATAAAGGTGTAGTTGGCACCTTGCCAGGTATAGACACCCAGGGTAGCTATGTAGCTGTGGTTTTCAAGCTACATTCAAGGTGGCCTGAGACCACGGTTTGCTGCCCTAAAACACTCTGTTCAGGCCACCTTGAAAATAAAGGTCTTGTAGCTACAATTCTGTTCCCAGGTATGGCGCGCATCAGGCTTCACAGACAGTGGAAATAGCTTCTTCCCGGCTTTGCACCGCGAATCAGCCCCATAAAAGCGCTGGCTTTCGTTTTGCAGCTTCTCAGGCGTCCTTTTGTCGATCTGCTCGTGAGCCGCTTGAGCCCCAAACTTGGGCCCCCCTGGAGGGGGCTAAGGAACGCCACCCTACAGGGAAGGAAGATTGAAAAAGAGATGTCCCTAGGCCAGCAGTCACAAAGGGGTGCCTATTGGAGGATAGAGGTGCCCATTATCCATTCACTTAGGGGGTAAAAAAACCATCCCTTTGTGACTGCTGGGCGATATGACAGTTGTTCACCCCCCAAGTTCCATGGAGTTGTGTTTTTGAGATTCATCCAGAGGCCGGCCGTTTGATTTTCTGGGCACCCCGACTGACTTCCTCTACTAGAACCCCTTGGAACTGTTGGTTTGGAGGTCCTTTGGTCCCCCAAGTTGGGCCGCATTTTGTTGGCCACCTCCAAAGGTTTTGTCCTCCAAAGCTGGCGATGAAGTGTCCTCCCATCACCTCTCCAAACCTATGAATTTATTTTAGGGTGTTGGGTCAATGCATCGAGACAAACTGGTTTGCGTGCATGTGTGTTCTTTTTTTAAATCTATTTTTGGATATTGATCAGACTCATTGTAAAAAGGAATAATAGAATAACTGACAAAGTCTTGTAGGAAACATCTACTGCATATAAATCCAACACACTGAAGGATCAGGAGTAGACTATGACCAGTGGTTTCCTTTGTTCTGCACATCTCGTGGTCTCAAACCAACTGCACATGAGGTCTAGATTCGAATGAAGAACCAGAAGCGAACTAGCCTGAAAACACCTCGAAACTGTATCAATTGCTGTAGACGTGTTCATGCTTTACGCTTACTGTGTGTTTTTTTATGCAGAATGTTGCTGTGCTATTTGTGTTTTTTGTCAGTGTTTGCTTTCTTCAAGAGCGTAAGAAACATCGGAACCTAAAGCCTCCGAGCGCCCAGTCGACCTCCGCTCCACTCCGCGACTCTCTGCTCGCGTCGAAACGACCGACTGAACGCCTTGGGCGGGTGGGTGCTGTGAGGAAGACGGTGCTATGCCTCTATCGGATCTTCCTGAAGGCTCGTGCACACGGGCTCGCGGCAGGGCGGCAGGGCTCGCGGCGGGTGGATCCCGGGCTCGGTGCCGGCGGAAGGAAGGCGGGTGTTTTGGTTGAATCCAGGCCCCATGATCGCAGGCTACATCAACACAAGAAGTGGCTCAATAAGTGGATCAACCATGGGAGGCCGGTCGGAAAGTCGTGGCGGACACCATTCGACCATGGTAAAAATGGGACAGACTTGGGTTTGTAGCGTAAAACCCTTTGCAGAACAATGGTGGTTCGGGATGGTACTAGTAGTTGGAAGCCTGGAGTGAATGGACATGAATGGACACCTCATCCCGTGACATGGTCAACCGATGAAGTTTCACGATGGCGCAATGGCTTGATGTCGATGTTAAGGGTCTTGTATCATCTTTTATATATACACCAATATTCACTAACGTGTGGTGTTTTTTCCTGCAGTGAACACCATTCTTCTGGGAGCGGAAACGACCAATTCAAACGGAAGCTTGAGCGATGAAAACTGGGCGCCCTATACATGTGACATGTGCAAAGCTGTTTTTTGAGCTGTTGAGACCCACAGTGCTGTTTGTTGCCTCGCATGATTCCTGATTCAACGGCCTATGGCCGGCCCACATCGCAACCAATTCAATTATTTAGTTTCTCCGTGTGACTATGGTGTCAGCTTGCCTCAAATTACTATACCTGGACCTTCATGTCGGGGTGCGAAACATGGAGATCCGCAAGTAGTGTAGGGTAATCTATTGGAGAACTGTTCGAAGGTGCTGGTATATTCTATCGATTCTATTCAGTACTCAGTTTTTGAACCTGCACTTTGTGCCTTTCTGCAAGTCAGGAACCTCATGGAACCTGCACACCGATGTCAGGATCCTCCAGCCTTGAGGACGTGCTTTCCGAAGCTGAAGGACGGGTGGAGCGGGTTCGCTGCGGACCCACGCGCGCCGCGAACAGGTGCGGGGGCAACGAGTCAATGGCTCTGAGTCAAAACCAGGAGTTCGATTGACCTGGTCGACTATGGCTATAGGTGGGTCACGGCCCATCCAAATCAAGTCCAGGTCGCATGGGCTCATTCAAGGCTTATCGGGCTCGACTCAGGGTGCTTGTTCAATGTCCGCCACTTTGTGACTTTGCTATGACTCCTCTTTTTTCGGGAAGTGACTGTTGGTGTTTTTTTGTGTCTTAAGCTCCAAGATGTCCTCCCGAGAGGCGACACAACGTGCAACGTGCACACATGAGACCAACGGAGAAAAAAATGCCACAACAGCGTTGAAGCCAACCCCTCTCAAGGGCTCAAGGGTTTTGAGAAGGATCCATTAATCACAAGGAACTCAGGAACCTACTAGTGGAAAGGAGGGAACACAGACAGCAGTTGATGGTGGCGCATGCACCACTTGTAGGGTAGCCTCCCTCCACCACCTGGACCCTGAAAACCTCCAAAACCATGTGAACAAAGACACCACCTCAGAAACGACCTGAAAACCTCCAAAACCTGGACCCGAAACCACCAGGTGTTGTGTTGGTTTTTTCCCCGTTCCCCGCGCGCATGGACTTGGGGGGGGGGGTCCCAGAGCCGCACGCGGACGATTCCTGCCGTCGTCGATGTGTCGGGTCCAGGACCGGCTGGGAGATGAAGATCAGGCGAGGAGAGGAGAGGAGGATAGGAGGAGGAGTTGCTGAAAAAAAGAGCGCGAGTTTCCATATATGCATGAGAGGAAACAACACAAAGCAGTAGTAGCTATAGGTTGGCAATGTTTGGGGGTTCATGCTGTTTTTTTTGGTGTTTCGTTGGCATTGAAACCCGTGGTATTGTTGGGAAATTCGACTGTATTTGCCAGGTCCAACTCCATCTAGTCTCACAGTACAGGGCCTCACGAGCCAGCTGTGCCGGTCTTGCAGAAGTTGCACTTGTTGAGACCCCAAAACATCTCAAAATCATGCTTTGATCATGATGTTATATAGACATGTCTCGGAGTTTTGGGGGTTCAGATTGGAGCCCAGGGCGGGTGTTCAAAACGCACGCACGGCCGAAGCCTTTCTACGCAAAACCAGAAGCAGCGGCAGCTCACGGGAGCTGTGAGAAGTACCGTCAGGGAGTGCTCACGGCCACCGTGAATACCTTCTTGGAGCTTGCACGGAAGAATGCCAGGAGCAATGAATGGAGGGACTGCGCGCCAGCTGGCAGTGCAGAGACACCACCTGGCAGTGCCACCTGGTTGAAATACCAATTCTTTCACTAGCTGTTTCAGGTGGCGCGGTAGTCTTTTTCTCCAACAGTGTGGATGTCTTTATTTAGTCCAAGAACTAGCCCCCCCAAAATGTGTACTTGAATAGGGAGTTCTCCATCCAATTGTTGTTGTTCTTCTTCCAGGGGATCGTTGCCGGGAGGTCTCCTTGTTTATACACGCCCAAATGTCCGACCACCAAAGAGATTTAGCAGTGACTGGAGACATCGTTGACAGAAACATGCGATTTGCAGGTGGTTGTTTCATGTTTGTGTTGATATGTTGAGCCAGCTTGTGCGTTTTCCCCAAAAGGGTCCCCCTTTTCATCCCCACGTCCTACGTCCGGTTTTAGGGCAGTTTGTGGCGCTTGCGTTCCCTGGGGGTGAGTCCCCAGATTCGAACACATTGTAATTGTCTGGTTCCAGCGCCGCAAATCCCAAAAATCATGCTGTTTGCATGGCGCTTCGATCAAGATGGCATAATCTTTGGACCCGATGAACCGTGGGTGAGGAACTATCTGTCGCTGGTTCCGCAGCTGTACCACATTTTAGACAACCTGGCATGTCTTGACTGCTTGGACACGTCGGATATGACAAACTGGTGTGCTCGCTGTTGGCAGCTGGGGAAGGAAATGAGGTAAAGTCAGACAGGCATGTCAGTCCTTCGATGTTAATTGTTATAGATAATTGTAATATGTTTTATCATGTTTTGCTCAAGATTTGGAGGGCAACTTTACTAGGTGTTGAGTTGGTGGACCAGCTGCCCACACGTTCGCATCTCAGTTCTTGTTTGCGACATTCTACGGATCTCCATTCCCGGATCCACAGACCTTCTCAGAAGGTAGTTACCTGGGCCCGACAATGGCGCCTACATAAATAGTCAATCACATCACCTTCTCAGAAGGTATGCAGATCCATAGGGATTGTATACCACCACTATAGGTGGGTGTTGAGACGATGGGGGGCGCGCTGATGTCTTTGATGCCCACGACCCAAAATGAGTCAGAGAGTTTCTGCAACATTCTGGGAATATCTTTGCAGGAGTGTACTGCAATGCGATAGTTTGTGTGGGCGGCCTATCTCAACCATAGGCCGCTGATCTGTATGCACATGAGGATGTGGCTCTCTATCAAAGATTACATTCCGACAAAGAATCCACCCTTTATGGAGTCATTTGGGATAATTTATGCCGGGTTCATTATAGGATTGTTCTTTCAATTCATAAGTTAATATAGTAGTGAAATGGAATGTGTTGAACCATCCAAAGTTTGTTTTATTCAGTCAATTCCTGCTCCAAATGTTGACAGTTTTCAAATCCTTCAGACAAATCCTTCAAACCTTCAAATCCTCCTTTTGAGAATGTTCAAACCTTCGCAGGTGAATACCCAAAACAATTGGCTCTCGATCAAGTTGTTGAAGGCGCCAAAGACGGGGGCGACGGCCCGTGCGGTGCGGTGGTGGAGCGGCGGCCGTGGCGACGGCTGCGGGTCCCTAGTCGTCAGGGTGGACGGGTTGCCCTCGGCGGCGCCGCGTCCCGTTGGCGGCGTTGAGATCACCTCGGGGCGTTGACGCCGTTGACCACCCCTTTCCATTGAGGTTCGGCTCCTTGCGGTTTGAGCTTCGGTTCTGACTATAGGGTGGGTGGGAGGGTCCGACCTTCGGAGGTACTTGGAGTCAACGCGGAGATCCGGATGCTCCCAAAGATATTGACCATCAAGGCCCTTTTGACTTTACATGACTTTACTTTTGATTACTTTAGAAGGCCCTTTCTCTCCTGGAGTCCCTGGAAGTCGAAGGGACCATCGTTTTGCAGGAGGGCAGCCGGAAGGGAAAGCTTCCTTCACCGCCTCCTTTGTACTCACTCTACAACTCGCATGCGACGCCAACGACTGAGATATCGGACGACTGAGTCGTCCGATCCTCGGAACCGAAAACGGTCCAGTGCGGGGCACAGCAAAGCTGTTTGGTGGTTTCAGAGACTTTTCTGTTCAATCCTTTCATTACTTGGGAAATCTTGGGATGATTGAATCCAACGTCTCCATAAAGGACCCCTGTCAGACAGGCCATCCCCCCCAAAAAACACCCAAACGAAAACGGCCAACCCAGGCTGAAAACGGGGTCCGGGAGACATTGTCACCCCGGCCGATCGATGTGGAGCTCGATGGACGAAAGAAGCGTATAGGAGGAGTTCTCGTTTTGCAGGGGAACGGATGTATCATGATCATATCATGACCGCAGATCAATTATTAGATTCAACATGATTTGATGGTACGAGATGGTACGTATAAATATACGTATACATCATTAAAAAGTGTTGTCGTCTAGTGAAGATGGTTGATCTTCTCTCCTGCAGGGACTGAATTCCTTTTTTTTTCAGGTCTTTCAGCTCCTTTCGCCCCTGGAGCCGCGCTTGCCCGCCAAGTTGGTGGAGCCGCTCGGCGTCCGGTTTGGTTCGATGGGATCCCGAAGAAGAATCCCGTCGGTCGAGGTCAGGCCACGACACATGGGAACACAGGGGTCATGGTGCCCGGGGATCCAAACCAGGGTAGGTGGACCTCCGACTCGTAGTCCATTCTGTTCATTTTCTCTGGTCAACCTGCTCCATGTCTCAGGAAGTTGGAGACTTGCATATCTTGGGTTGAAGTGTCTTCAGGAGCAGTGCCACGCCAGGAACAAGCTGCTGCCATTTCATCACCCATTAGGATGGTGTGGGCAAGAGGCATGGAGATCGGAGTGTTGAGGTGTTTTCACGATCATGTGGTCGCGCATTGGGCTGATCCATCTGACAATGACTTGAAAGCACCTATTCACCATGTCAGTCTCTGTGCATCAGGACATGGGATTGGAGCACCTCTGTTGCTTTGTGACATAGTGTGGGGATGTGTCTCAACTGCTCCTCCAAGCTTTCAGCAGAGAAGTAGAAGGCTTGAGCAGACACAGACACACAGAGGATCATCGGCTCTGGCTGCCAAGTTGCTTCGAGAGTTTGGAATGCCAGGGATCTACAATGAGGAGAACGTCCGTGCTGTAGCGATGGCTTTAGCAGAGGATGCTGCTTCGGGTTCGGCTTTGGTTGAAGAGGTGGCCAAGTCCTTCCAAGAGTACAATTCTGAGTACAATGAGCGGGTGAAGATCGTTTCGGTCGATGTGATCAAGTCATATCAAGTCCAAATTGTACATGGTGGGTCCCAGATTTGAACTCGCGGAGCCGAAAGCTTTCGTTTGGATTGTGCCTTTTGCTTTGGTTGATTGGAATGAGTGGCGGCAAGATCTTGAGTTCCTGGAGCCAATTCAGATTGGCACCTTTCCCAAAACCTTTGCCTTTGCTATTGCCATTCCAAGGGTTTTGCTTGCCCATTTCCTGTTGGCTTTGCCTGTCCCAAGGCCTTGGGCTTTGCCTTTGCCTTGCAAGGCAAGAAGCCCATGGCTTCCTTCAAGGAGTGCTCTGCCACCAACCTTTGCCCTGGCCTGTTGGGCTTGCTACTTGGGTTGTCTGTGGCTTCCTCTGCCTTCTTGGAAGGGTCTGGGCTGTCTCAATTTGTCCAAGTTTCTCATGATCATCCTTTTCCAAGGGGTTCTTCTTCAAATAGGTCTGGCGCCTGCCCCAAACCACAGGCTTTGCGCAGCCTCTCAGCTGCAGCATCAACTATCTCCCTCAAACTCATTTTGCCTAGCTTGCCCAAGCTTTTTGGGTTCAACTTTGCCTTTCCCAAGGCCTTTGCCGTAGAGGCATTAGCCTTTGCTTTTGCCTTTGCTTTGACCTTTTGACCTTTCCCAAGGCCAGCTTCATCACTTTCATAGCCTCCATTGCCTTTTTAGGCGCCATCGAACTAGTGCCTACAAGCTTTTTGTGAACCAAATCCTATCTTGAACCCAAATACTGCAAATATATTTGGAAAAATATTCCGAAAATTAGCCAAGACACAAACCGTATCAAATCTTATCAAACCTTATCGCTGGCCTTTTCCAAAGCTTTTGCTTTTGTCTAGTGCTGGCTGCAAAGCTGGTCCCTCAAATCTTTGGCTTCTTGCTTGGGGAGGGCCTTCTTTTCCAAGGCTGCCCAGATGTCACCACTGACTTGTGAGTATTGGTGGCACCTGGCTGCAGACACTTCAACAATCAAGTGGAGCTGGCTGCTGCCTTCAATTGGGTGTCACACAAATATTGCCTTTCAGGGTTCTTGGCACATGTCTTCCGAATTTTCACCCACTGGTTGCTTTCTTCCTTTTGCAAGGACTCTGTTGCGGGCTTCTTTGCAATTGCCTTTCCCAAGGCCTTTGCCTTTACTTTTGCCTTTCCCAAAACCTTTGCATTTGCTATTGCCATTCCAAGGGTTTTGCTTGCCCATTTCCTGTTGGCTTGGCCTGTCCCAAGGCCTTGGGCTTTGCCTTTGCCTTGCAAGGCAAGAAGCCCATGGCTTCCTTCAAGGAGTGCTCTGCCACCAAACTTTGCCTTGGCCTGTTGGGCCTGCTACTTGGGTTGTCTGTGGCTTCCTCTGCCTTCTTGGAAGGGTCTGGGCTGGCGTGGAAAGCCATTGGCATCCATAGATACCGCTATACATCACTGCTGTTCTGCTTCAGCCTTTTGTCTTTTCCAAGACAGCTTGGCTGTGATGCAGCCTTCTCCAAGGGTGGGCCCTTTCTCTTCAAGATACCTTTGAGAGGCTGTTCCTCCTTCACCTTTACCAAGGGTTTCACCTTTTCCAAGGACTTATCCTGCAAGGGTGCGCCATCCCCCTTTTCCAAAGGTTCTGAGCTCTTGTCCAACAACTTCAGAGCTGCCAGCAGGGAGTTGTACTCTTCCCTGCAGAGCTTGACAGCAATAGGGGACATGTTGGCATTGACCCCACCTAGTTTCCTGACGTGAGCCACTCCTTGAGGTTCACCCAAACCTGGCCAAGCGCCCTGAGAGGAGGGGCAGCAGGGCCTGCCTCATTGGCTCAGGGTGGATCTGACCACAGGGACACAGCCTCAAGAGGTCTTTCCATAGAGGTATCCATGCCCGTTGCATCCACACCGTGTGAGCGACTGATTCACTGATGTGGTCATACTGGCGCATATGTGGCACCATGGCCTGATGCTTTTCCAAGCATGAGTAGAGAGCATCAGTATCCACCACAGGCTTGGTGAAATGCTTGGCTCCTCCTCTCCCATTCATTCTCTTTTCCAAGAGTTGCAAAGCTTGCTATGGATCTATCTTCTTGCCAGGTTGAGCCAAAACTAGCAGCATTTTGCAGTACAAGGAGCACATCCAAAATCAATATCTCAATCAATATTTTATTCAATATATTTGCCAATATGACAATCAATACTCCAGGGTGAAAATTGATGGATTGTCTTTTTTTGTTGCTTCATCTTCGAACTCCAGGGGGCCACACACTGTTGCGCCATCTACAATTCCAAAAACCCGGGAAAACTACCGCATTTATGGTCCAAGATCTCGCCATTTTGTAATCTGTTATTTGCGTGTGGGGGCTTTATGTCAGAACCACAGATGGCGCAATGCCAATCAATGCATACAGTAGGCTTCAACTCTGCAAATATCTCACCACTGATGCTGTACTGCATGAAGTTGGAGAGGAAAGCGCAGGAAATGCTATACTGCATGAAGCAGAAAGCGCAGGAAAGGAAAAGGGAAGGAGGAGAGGGAAGGGACAAATCCAGTAAAGAAAAAGGAAAGGGAAAGGACCAGGAACAGAAAGGGAAAGGACAAGGAACGGAAAGGGAAAGGACGAGGAACGGAAAGGGAAAGGACAAGGAACGGAAAGGGAAAGGAAAAGTGAAGGAAAGGCAAGAGAAGGAGAGGAGAGGAGAGGAGAGGAGGGAAAGGGACAATGAAGGAAACAAAAAAGGAACGGAAGTAAAAAGGGAAGCAAACCGACATGAGTTGCGCCATCAAATGAGAAAAAGAGCTTTGGGATGCGCCATCTATAGATTTTGCAGCCCTAGTTTTCGTGATGTTTAATGATTTTTTTGCGACAGTTTTTTGTGCTTCCTAGCTCAAAGATGATTCAATTGACATGTGGTGTTGAGCCATCTATGGCTATGGTGGCTACCCCCTGAGTTGCGCCAACAACTTTTACGGCGGTGTATATTTTTCACTATGGTCGGATGATTGAAAAAATATTGGTTCTAGTCAATACAAGCAAAATCAATATCTCAGGACATCAAAATATTGATTCCAATCAAGATCGGATGCTCAGGATGGATGAGCGTAACCCGTGATTAGCGCAACCTTTGATTAGCGTGACTTGTGATGAGCGTCACAGAGCTGTGCGAAGGCTGTGTAAAGCCGGAGTTGTGAGGAGGACAGTCGAATGGCTACAAAGGAGAAGAAGAGCAGCAGCTGTAGCGGTGGCGCGCCGAAGCGGGCGCGACGCCAAACTGGCTTGAGTTTTGCCAGTGATGTGAATCTTGTATTTTCAGATGGCTTTACTTCCAGGGGGCTTGAAAAGGCTGCAGCATTGGCCAGAGCGCTAGGTGTGCGAAGGACACATATTTTCTATTCGTTTCTTCGCTCGTGCTTGGTGTGGCATCGTGCCGGAGTGGACTAGATGCTGCTCGGTGTCCGCCAGAGGAAATTCCTTCGTGGGGCCTCGCTGACTTGCCGGTCGCTCAAGAGCAAGCTATTCGAAGCCAGGACGTGCTTCACGCTCCGGCACGTCCGCGTGCGCAAGGCATGTTGAAGCGTTTCCAAAGGTTTGCAGGCGAGTTCTCAGGCATGCAGGCCAGCAAGCACTTGGTTGAAGACTGGATGCTGCTGGTCATGGTTTGCGTATACCTGGGAGAAAGCACATTCCTGAAGAATGTGTGTTCTTGGACAAATTCTTTCACACGAGCTTTCTGTCTGTCTTGCAAGCCGGGTCTATGGAGAAGCTGCAATGCGAATTGCGTCACCGCTGTGTGTTTTGGTGCTTGGTGCGGAGGGAGCTGAACTTCTACTTCAACCCTCGCGACGGACGACGCACCGTGCCTTGTACTGCCTCAGAGCCGCAGATAGATCTCCGCCTTTGAAAAACTGGTTGGGGTCAACGCTGGTAGAATTTGTTCTGTTGTGTCTGTCGCGGTGTAGCTATAATTGGTCTCACTTGTGTTTTTGTTGTCTTATGTTCCGAGACTGTTTCAGAGAGATCCGGGGGAGGGTGGCTGCGATGATGCGCTGATGAAATACTTTTCGGCGCATGAGGTATGCTCCCTGCGTGTACCTCTGCCCGGCGGTTCACCAGATCAGCAGTCCAGCGCCGACAGCGAATCCGAGGACTCCGGCTCAGAACAATAAAGCGATGCCAGCGACGATCGAGGCGGTAGGCTACGGCAAGAAATCAGCAGGAAGAATGGCCAGGCTGCCCATTATCTCCACAGAGGGGAGGCGAGGTACATTGCACTGGAAATTTATGGTGCAAGCCATGAGAGTGGATTGGGGCAACGTAC